ATCTTCAGCCCAAGGGGCACTCCCTTGTTCCCAGTGCTCCTCACTAGAATGGATGTTGAAGATGGCTGGCCACACAGAATCCGGAGGTAATACTAAGAAAACTACAGTTGTTTGTGATTATAAGTTTAGCACATAGCAGCCACTGTGCCTGTCATAATTGCCACCTCTAGGAGTCCACATATATCCCAAATCCTGGGGGCACCAGTAATGTAGCTTCCTATCCAGAGCCTCAGTGTTCTTAGTTTTTGCTCATTGCTAAGGCTGAACACTGAGAGAGGTTTTATTGGTGGCCTCTTCCTGACATCAGGCCATGCTCTGTGACTTTCCAGTGTGGCTGTAGGTGTGATATATTTGCACTTGTTCTGGGGAGCAGTACAGACAGTCTTACTGAGGGGGATAGCCTTTTCTGTCCTCCCCAGATTCCAATCATGTATACTTAACGTACATAGTCTGGTAGCTGGCTAAGTCTGTACGTGCTCCATACATCTATACCGATTTCATATGTATATGAGCAAACAGCCCTGAATATACAGCACAGTTGTCACTCCTTATTCAGTCTGGGGAAATACATATTGTCCTGTGATTACTTTGTTCAGTGATTTCATTTCATCCAAATTCTGGAACACTAATGTCCCCTATGCATCTCTATCCACAATCCTTATGTCACCAACTTGGGAAACGATGTATCTTATAAATGCGTCATCCATATAGAAGGCATGAAATCGGAGTGGACCCATGGAGACGCATGCTTGATGTCAACACAAGATGTCACCCTTACATTCCTTCCTAGGACATTCTCTTTCACAGCCTACGGATTGGGTCCCCTAAGGTAGAAATCCAAGTTTTTATCACCTGGTAATCCCTAAAGAGGTACCACCTGAGGGGTACCCAGGGTCAGAAAAGGGGACATCACACACTTCTCTCCTACTGTGTTTTCATGCCAAGCATGGCTATGCCCTGAAAGGGAGTGTGCTAACCCATCTGGTCAAATGCAAGGCTTCCCCCATGTGCATGTTAGTGGGAGGACGGTTTTGGCTTGGTGAGGAATAAATCTATCATACCCTGTCTTGAGCCAAGCACTTGCACATTGGGAACTTGGAGCCGGCTAGCAACATGACACCTTCATGATGTCCTAGAGGGAGCATGTGTTCCACAGGACATCATTAGGCCAGAACACATCCTGTTATTAGGGGGTAGGTGACTTTTTCTTTTTAAATTTTTATTAGTACATGTTTGGAGTACATAACGACTGCATTCATCATGAGGAGTTGGTACTTGGATATATCACACCTTGATTCTTAATTCTTTTCATGTACGTTTCCCTTCCTCCCTCTCTCCCCTCCTTCCGTTTCTTGGTCCCCTTCCCATTTACAAAAGACCTATCTCTCTGTTTCCTGTTATTTGTCTTTTATTTTGCTCTTTAATTTATTTATACTTTGGGTTTCTCATATGAGAAACTGTGGTATTTAAGCTGTATGTGAGACTGATTTCACTTAACATTATCGTCTCAAGGTGTAGCCATTTCCCTACAAATGACTCAGATTTATACTTTATAGTAGGGTTGTTTTTCTTTCTTATGGAGTAAAATCTACTTCATGGTTATTCACAGTTTGTCCCTAATCATGAGAGCTTTTTATGAATGTATTTTTTTCACACTCCAGAAGGAGGTCAACTTTTTAAATTTTAATTTAGTTTTTTGTGATGAATCAGAGTCTTGCACATACTAGGCAAATGCTTTACTACTAAAATATACTCTTTCCAGCCTTTTTTTTTTTTTTTTTGTCTTTTTGAGACAGGGTCTTGCTGGACTTGAGCTCACTTTGTAGCCCAAGCAGGTCTCAAACTGACAATGATCCTCCTGCCTCAGCCTCCTGAGTGCTGGGATTACAGACATGTGCCACCATGCCCATCTAGCCTCTTTATATTTTTAATCAAAATGATTAAGAAACAGGCAAGGGAAACAAATGATGACTGTTGCAATGGTTTCTCATTCTCTTAGGAAGGTAGGATTGATTGTCTTCCGGGAAATCATCCTTTGAGCATTTTAAATCCTGTACTCTGCTTTGGAGCCCTCAGTTTTTACATTCAGTGTCACAGCGCTGTGCCACTTGAGTGGCTAGTGTGCTGGATATTGTATACCAACAATCAATATCCACTCTCATCTCCTTTCTAGATTCCTCCCTGTGCTGCAGAAACTAGAAAAGCCTTGGCCAAGCTTTAGAAGGTAGAAGTGAGAAGTGTGAGGAGTTTCTGCAGCAGAGTTCCAGAGTCTTGTCACTAGCCTCACAGAGTTGGCTCTCTCAAGGTCAGCAAGAATGGTGATGGTGATTTCCTGATCTCTGGATCACACCCACAGCATTATGTTGTTGGATTCGATAGGTATAGTAAGGTTTTCCCGATTTCTCAGCCCCATGATTGCAGCAGAGATGACACTACGCTGGTGGGGCAGTTTGGAGTCATTCCTGCAGGGTCAGCTTTTCTAGGCTTCCTGATGTGTATCATCATTCCTTGCATGAATGTTTTTCTGTTTAAACTACCAGCGTGGTTTTGGGTTACTATAACTGAACCTTGAAAGGTGTACTGAGCCTCAGAATTTCTACACTAAAGGTTTTATTAGTCCAGGTGGAGAAGGTAAGTCTCATAACAGATCAAAGGAGATTGAGTGATCATAAGACCCTCACATATCCCTTATGCCTGGTTGCTGTGGGCATGCCTTATTCAGGTCACCTTAAATGACCCTTTACTTTAGTAGTCTGGAACGTTTTTCAGATATCCAACACAGGACACGTGCACCATAGCCATCAAACTTGGTAGCTGAAATTTAGATCCTGGATACAGGAGAAATTTAGAACCTGGAGACAGGAGATGAAGAATTAAGAAGGCAGGGTGAGTTCCACTTACAGTGGTCATTAAGGTGAAGGCATCGATAACACGAGTTCTCAGGTTAGACGTCACAAAATGTCAAGCCTGGAGCAGCTTGATGTTCTTTGCTTCTGATGACTCCTCTGCTGCCCTGATGTTCACAAGTCCTTGGGACCTGAGTTCGGCTTTAGGAACTGGGCAGCCGTAGACACACTGAGAGGACAGATGTAACTGCTGCTGTCCCTTACTTGGTATTTGGCTTGGCAAGAGATCAGTAAACTGTTTTTTCTTTGATGGCTATATGATGGTCTTTACATGACATTTTCCCACCTAAAATTATCTTTAGACTATACCTTTAGTTGTTTGTTTATTTTGGTATAGCGGGTTGAACCTACAGCCTCATACATGCTAAACTCATACTCTACTACTGAGCCATACCCCACACCTCTGCAAATTTTTTTGACGTTTCATTTTATTTTTTGGTTTTTTTGAGATAGGGTCTCACTGTGTAGTGGTCTTGAAGTCATTATGGTGCTCAGACTGCTCTTGAACTCACAGCAATCCTCCAGCCTTACCCTCCTGTGATTACAGGTGTGCGCCGTCACATCCGGCTTGTCAACATGCTTTCAAATGTACACCCTAAACCAGATTCTCCATTTTTATACCATCCACCCTAATGCTGGATAATAGCCTCTTTCCGTGGGATCATAACAATCGCTCCCTCTTGTCCTGATGTACTTATGAAAAAATTCTACACTCCTTCCCTTGGCCTAAAGCCTTTATGTAACTGGTCTCTGCCACTCTATCCCATTACATTTCCTATTACCTGGCTTGCCTACGTAATGTATAGGGTCTGGTGCAAAATGGAAATGCAGGGCTCCTTTTCAAAAAAATGATTAAGAATTGCATGAGGTCAACAGCACAGTGTTTGGGCCAGGGATGTAGCTCAGCAACACAGCGCTTGCCTGACAAGTGTGAGGTTGTGAGTTTCACTCCTGGTACCACAAAAGGAAAGGAAGAAAGAAAGAAAGAAAGAAAGAAAGAAAGAAAGAAAGAAAGAAAGAAAGAGAGAAAGAAAGACAGAGAGAAAGAGAGAAAAGAAAGAAAGCAAGAAAGAGAAAGAAAAAAGAAAGAAAGAAAGAAAGAAAGAAAGAAAGAAAGAAAGAAAGAAAGAAAGAAAGAAAGGAGAAAGAACTCCTATTACTCCAAGCTTATAGGGTGTGATTATAGGGTCATAGCTTAAATAGCACAGCGTTTAACCAACTGCAGGCCCTTCCTTTCCGATCTGGGACCTTGTGAGGCTGTACAGTTGCATGCCCACAAAGCTCACCCCCTCACCTCAGTGAGGGTTCCAATTTGTTTTAGAGCTTTTGCACTAGCTCTTTTCCTGCCTGGAACGTTCTTCTGTCTCATGTGAACACGGCTCAGGCCTCTTTACTAGGGTCTCACTGAAAGCGCAGCTGAGACAGGCCATCCCTTACCTACAACCTAAAGTAGCCCCTGAATCACTTCTTGTTGTTGCCTGCTTTAATTCTTTCCTATTTCCTTTTTTTAGTTCTGTATTTAAATATTGACCTCCTCTGTTGTGCTTGAATTGTCCCCACCAACAGTCCTTTGTTGAAGTCCCATCCCTTGTACTTCAGAATGTGACCTTGTTTGGAAATAGGATCACTGCAGATGTAATTAGCTAAGATATGAACCCTAACCCAGCATGACTGGTGTTCTTTACAAAGGAGACATTTGGACGCTGAGACTGTACAAGGAAATGCCGTGTAAACATGAAGCAAAGACAGAGACCTGGAACAGATTTTTTCCTCACAGATCTCAGAAGGAACCAAGCCTGCCAAAACCTTGACGTTAGATCTCTAGAATTGTGAGACAATAATCTTCCGTATACACCTCCCTGTTGGTGGTATTGTGTTGCAACAGCCCTCGCAAGCTACTACGCCCCCATCAGTTTTTTTTTTTTTGTGTGCCAGGAATCGAACTCAGGACCTTGTACTTGCCAGACAGGCGCTTGTGCCACTGAGCTATATGCCCGGCCCCTACGCGGAGAGCTGTAGCCCTCCTTATGCTGTTCACAGCGACCCTAGAACGTGCCCACACTCAGTTGTGTCGCCTGTTTATGTAAACCTGAAAGCCTAGAAAGGGAAGAGTGTTGTATCTTTTATCTCTTGTAACTACTACTCGGTGAAGGTGGAGTGAGGGTGTGCAACAAAAACCTGTTGAGTAGATTAAATCATTTGACTTATTTCCTGATTTCTGCCGAAAGCTCCGGTGGGTACAATGTGCGCTGGCTGAGAAACCATAGCTCTTACACTGCAGGCTGCGTTACTGCCTACCAGGTACATTCGGCTTTCTGGACAAAGACACTAACACTTGGCAGATCTTTCAAGTGAGACTCAAGAGACCAAACCGAGATGCAGCTTTTTACAAGCACAGGTCCTTGCTCCTTTTGCCATCTTGGTACTTGTAGTCTTGTCCACTGAATCTTCACCCGAAAAGCCTGCGCTGAGACCACAACTCCCATCACCGCGAGAGCACGGGAACCTTCAAAGCGCATCCTCAGGAGGGGCGCCAGCGCCATTGACAAACCTGCTGGTCGAAGGGCCCGCCTTCCAGAGCCCAAGGGCCGCCGCGATTGGCCAGCCGCCCCGCCTCTCACGGGAGGGGCGCCAGGTGAATGAAAGGGGGGCGTGTCGGGGCGCCCAGCTCCGCGGCGGCGCGACTGGAACCTGGTGGAAGGTGAGCGCGGAGAAGCGGGTCCACGCGGTCACATTCACTGGTTGGGGGAAGATTCGGGTACCAGGGAAGACCGGCCCGGGAGACGGGTAGCCGACAGGGATGCCTCTCTTCGTCAGCTTCCTTTGGACCACCCGGCCCTGGCAACTCCCGGGACCCCAGCCGTGAGATCCCGCGCTCGGCGGGCCGACCCCCTTCTGCCTTCAGTGTGGGCGGGGCGCGCGCGGCGACCTTTGCCCCCTTCGAGCGCAGGTCCCCCCCCCCCCCCGCCCCGTCGTCCAGCTGGGGTCGGGCGCCTGCTCTCTCCGATGGTGAATGATGCTGGGGCGCGAGGGCTTGGCCAGGCTGGGGCAGCGTCCTCTGCAGCCATGGTCACTTTGTCCGCGGGAGGCCGGGGTGGGTAAGGCCTAGCGGCTGCACCCTCGACAGCCGAGGACTCTACCAGCTGCTGGTACCTGTGTCTGTGCGGGTCCGCTGGCTCCGAACGAGAGAGAACCCTGTTGGTTTCGCGAGCAGTTTAGCGGGTAAAATAACATCCGAAATTCTACCTGTGCAAATGGAAACTCTTCTCCCGTGTCCTTTCTCTCCTCTCCACGCGTGGGAGAAAGGCGCGCACAGATGTCTTGGAGGCTTTGGGGAGATCAGTCAGCATTGTGGCTAAAGATGTCAGCTCTGGAATCAACTGAATCTGGGTTCCAAATCCAACTGTGGACCCGTTATCCTTATTTTTGAACCTCAATTTCCTCTTCTAAAAAAGGGGTGTAATACAATATCTACTGCGCTGGGTTATTGTGAGATTAATATGTTCATAGTTTGCCCGGTGCTTCTTAAGGAGCAGTGCTCAGTGAATGTTAACAACCCGGGAACTTTTGTTTGTTTGTTTTTCTTTTTTTCAGTGCTTAGGTTGCTGAGCATTGTCAGAAAGTGGGCTGGGATTCAAGGCTCCTTTTACCCGCCCCTGCTCCCGCCGCCCCATCAAACACAGTTGTGTGGAATGGCTAAGGTTGCCTCAAGGGTGTATGGGAGTTTGTGTAGCAGGTGGTAGTGTGGGCGTCTGCCTTCTCCGGGAAGATAGGAACTGTACTCGTAAAATTTTCTATTCCTTACCTCTTCCTTGTGTCAGGCATTGCACCTGTAGCTAGTAACTGTTAAATTGAGTCAGAACTGTGGGAGGCTGAGAGGGTCTCTTCCAGAGTGTGGGAAATGTGCTTTCGAGAGCAGTTTATCCTTAGCTGCTTTTCTGAAAAAGTGGTGATCCTCAGAATATCCCAGGGATGCCAAGCACCAAAGGTAAGTGGGGTTGATAAGAAATAAAAATTTCCTCAGTCTATTCCAGGGCAGGATTGGGGCAAGTTTTGAAGAAGCTATGTGGCTAGATTTTTGCAAAGTCAGGGAATGTTTTCATGACCACAAAGAATCAAGAATATTTACAATGGTGCATGCCTGCAATCCCAGATACCTGAGAAGCTGAAGAAGGAGGATTTTAGGCTAACGGTCAGCGTGGGCAATTTAGTGAGACCGTGTCTCAAGATAAAAAATTAAAAAGAGCTCAGAGCCATGCATAGTGGCACATGCTTGTAATTCTAGTACTCTGGGAGGCTGAGGCAGGAGATTTGCAACATGAACATAGCCTGGACAGCTTAATGAGACCCTGTCTCAAAATTTAAAAAAAATTAAATAGGGCTGGGGGTATAGCTCAGTGTGAAGACCCTGGAGCCCTGGGTCCAGTCCCCAGTACTGCAAGAAAAGGAGAGTGCTTGGGATGTAACTCAGTGGTAGAGACCTTGGCCAGATACAGGAAGCCTTAGATTTGACCCCAATCACTGAAAAAAATAAAATAAAAATAAAGTGTTGTACATACTTATGTATTTATCTACCTTGTTTGTCCACTCTTTTCTTCTTTTTTTCTTAATTGAAAAAGAATAAAAGCAATACATGCACATAGCAGAACATTCCAACTGTATAGGAACGTGTTTTGTTTTGTTTTGTTTTTGAGATTACTGTCTCACTAGGTTGTCTAGGTTGGTATTGAATTCCTGGGCTCAAGCAACCCACCTGCCTCAGCCTCCCAAATGTCAGGGACTACAACGACACTACTGTGTCCAGACAGGAAGGTTTAAAATGAAAAGCGAAGTTCCTTTGGCACATTCTTTCCAAGGTATCTGCTGCTAACTTTCTGTCTTAGTTACTTTTCTCTTGTTGCTGAGACAAAATACCTAACACCCAAAATTAAGGAAGGAAAGGTTTATTGAGCTCACAGTTTATGGAGGTTTCAGTCTATAGTCAGTTGGCTCCAAAGCAGGGTGTCACATGGCAGAGGGGCAACAGTTCATGGCTACAGAAGACAGCAAAAGCAGCAAGAGCAAAATAGGGAGGAGAGCAAGCCTTTTTTCCTCTTTTATATTGTATGCAGGCTACCTGCCCTAGGGTGTGTGTAGCACTCACACTATCTCTATGCCCTCCTCTTGCACAGGCTTAGGATGTTTACAAAGTGAGGACCCTGAGCCCCTGCTGAGTCACTTAGTTAAACTTCTAAAACTTCTCAGGTTGACACAAAGAAGAGCCATTACAACATTCTGGAGCAAACAGGCGCCCTAGGGCATGTCCGCTACACCCCAGGATGCAGAACTGCTGAGTTACTTGGTTAAGCTTCTAAACTTCACAAGTTGACACAGTGTATCAACCATTACACTTTCTTGTATAACTTCCCAGAAAAAAAATCTCATCTGTATACCAGCAAATATATATATGGGATCATACTGTACATTTTATTTTGGATCTTGTTTTTGTCAATATATCTTGGTGATCTTTTCATATAAATATAGATAATTCTACATTTTTTTTTTTTAAATTCTACATGATTGTGTCAAGCTGAAGAGCAACCAGAGACTGAGTCAAAGGAAAGGTTTCCTTTGTTTGTTTCACTGAACTGAAATTGAACCCTGGGCCTTCACACAGAGCTACATCCCTAGTGCCCCCCTTTTTTTCACCTTTGTGATAGTACAAAAACCTGGTACAAAATGTATCTCTGGACTAATAATTTGCTTTTTGCTTTGTTTTGTGGTACTTGGGATAGAACCTAGGGGTGCTCTACCACTGAGCTACATCCCCATCTTTTTCTTTTTTTTATTTTGAGATAAGGTCTCCCTAAGTTGCCTTGGTGGGACTCAAACTTGTCATTCTTCTGCAGTCTCTCAAAGTGCTGGGATTACCAGTATGCACCACTGAACCTGGACTGAAGTTTTGTTATGTTTTAAAAATTTTTTCTTTTTGCCACCCTGGAGGTTGTACCTTACAACCCCATTGAGTTACACTCCAACTCAAAGGGAAGTTTTTAGTTCTGTTCTTTGTTTTGGTTTGAGACAGGGTCTCACTATGTAGTTCAGGCTGGCCTTGAACTTACTATGTAGGCCAGCAATCCTCCTGCCTCAGCCTCCTGAATGCTGGGGTTGAAGGTATGCACCACCGTACCACTCCAAAGTTTTAGAGACAAAGTGAGGAACTGTTTTGTAAAATATTTTGAAGCTGGGTGTGGTAGTGTAGCCTCACAAGTTCGAGGCCAGCCTGGGCTACATAAGCAGTTCAGAGCCAGCCTACACTACATAGTAAGACCCTGTTTCAAACAAACCAAAAAAAAAAAAAAAAGAAAGAAAAAGATATTTTGAAACAATAATCCTTGACTACAAGGATCAAATAACAAGGATAGCATCAATCCAAGATTAAACACCAGATAGACAGGTGTCCTTGCAGAAGTATTTTGTGTAAGGTTGCAGTGACTTTGTGCAGGATTATGGTTGTGGCAGTCTTCTTTTTGGTGATAGTTCTTGTTATCAGGAATAAACGTGAAATTTCCTCTTTCATATCCTCCTGGCTTTATTTGCAGGGTTTGACACATGTGACTTCAATTTGATTCAGACAGTTTTCACAGTTGCTTACTGATTTGTGATTGAAACATCATGGATTTTATTTGTCTCCTATTGATGAATATTCAAATTATTTCTACTTTTTTTTTTTTTGGAAACAGTCTGCCTGTGCAATCCAGGCTGGCTTCAAACTCGTAATCCTCTTGCCTTAGCCTCCTGAGTGCTGGGATCACAGGTGTGTGTCACCATGCCCGGCTACATTTCTATTTTTGTGATAGTACAAAAACCTGGTACAGTATATGTCTCTGAACTAATAATTTGATTTTTGCTTTGTTTTACAGTACCGGGGATGGAACCTAGGGGTGCTCTACCACTGAGCTACATCCCTATCCTTTTTATTTTTTGTTTTGGGACAGGGTCTCCCTAAGTTGCCTGGGCAGGGCTCAAACTTTCAGCCCTCCTAACTCAGACTCCCTTCGTGCTGGGATTGCTATTGTATGCCACCACACCCATTTTAACTTGATATGTTTTGGGGGATAAATCCAAAAGGTAAATTTATAGCAATGAACTTGCTGCTGCAAAAGTTGGGTGCATTTTAATTTTTTTTCTTCCTCCCTAGAGACAGGGCTTGAACTAGGCTGGCCTTGAACTGCTAGGTTTAAGCGCTCCTCCCACCTCAGCCTCCTGACTAGCTGGGACTATCATACCACTGTATACCTAACTTACACTTTAAGTTTTGATAAATATTGCCAAGCTCTCTCTGTTATATTATATCCTCACCAACACTGGGTGTTAGCACATTGAAAAATGTGATTTTGCCAGTTAGATAGGTTTTCTTTCAGTTCTGAGGTGGAAGAAAATGTAGTATTTTTTGTTTTGTTTTTTGAGACAGGTTCTTGCTACATAGCCCAGACTGGCCTCGAACTCACAGTGATCTTCCTACCTCAGCTGCTTGGGTGCTGGGACTGCAGGCTGGCGCCACTACACTCAGCTCAAAATGTAGTATTTAAGTGTAGTATTTGGGAAGTAGGAAGAAAATGTTCAAATGGGAAGGGAAACAAGGGAAGAGGTAGAGGGAAGGGAAGGAAAGGAAAAGGGAGAAAAGAGAATAGAAGGAAAAAAATGGAAACAAAGCTTTTGTAAGTAAGGAGAGGAATGGGAGAAAAAAAGAAGAATTAAGATATACCATGTACAGGTACAAATTGCCAATGATGAACGTGACCATTATGTATATCAAAAGTACACCAATAAAATTAATTTAAAAATAAATGTAGTATTTTTCTGTATCTTGTTTTCCCCATGTTTTGCTCATCAAAGGCTGTAGCAGTGACTGCTGAAAATGTGAGGTTAGATCAGGAAAGTGCTGGGTTGGATCAATTGAAAGAGGTGAGGTTGAAAGTGAAATCTTAGCCCCGTGAAAATTTTCAGGTTTGATTTGTTTGGGCCCAGTAGAAATTTTCAGTTTTCTTCCTTTTTAAACCAAAATTTACATTTTAACTACTTAGGATGAAAACATTGGTCAAAATTATGGCACAACTTCTTTGAGTGTAAAATGAATGTTAAAAGATAGGAATCTTCTTGATGCCTTAGGCCCACCAGTTTTAGCCCTGGGCTCCAATTTAGCGATGTCCTTAGGCCATTTTGAATAAGGAGCATTTAACTGGCCTCAGGGTGTTGTTTGGAAAAAATTCCTAGGACTACTTTTATTTTTTAACTTTTTTACTTTTTCCTAGCTATCAGTTCTCACTCTTTAATGTGTTGATTTATTTGCTTACAGAGGCTCCTCTCTAATCCCTTCCTAATTGGTTCTCTGGTTTCTGAATTTACTCTATCACTTGTTATAAATAGGTATAAAGGATATGGAAATTGCCATTTCCTAAGGCTGTGGAGGGTCTTTAATGGGTATAATTTGTGCAATTAATGCTTAGGTCTGGGACTGTTCTGGCAGTGGAACGGCCTTTTTGGAGAGAAAGGAGTGCTGGATTTCTAGGTTGGGCAAGGCACACTTTGGTGTGCTCCATTGGTAGAAAGGAAGAGTGGCTTAAAAGAGTTGTTCGCTGGGCATGGTGGCACACCCCTGTAATCCTAGCACTCAGGAGGCTGAGGCAGGAGGCTTGCCACTGTAAGTTTGAGGCCAGCCTGGACTACATAGTGAGACCCTACCTCAAACAAACAAATAAACAAACAAAAAAAGGTGAATGGTTAATGTGGTTTGTATGATGGGAGAAAATGAAGGGGAGAGTTTGAGGAAGAAGACCATCATGTTTCACTGCCAGGCAGATTTTAAACTTGATTTGTACTTGTTCTACATAGCAGTTAAGGAAGGGATATTCTAGCTAGAGGTGATCTCAGCACTGGGGAGGCTGAGGTGGGTGGACTGGAATTTCAAGGCAAGCCTGGGCTAACCTAGTAAGATCCTGTTAAGGCGTGTATCTAAATGTCTCCCCAAAGCCTCATGTGCTCATACATGAGGCTTTTTGGAGTTGGCTGGATCTAGGGTGTATGATACCAGCATGAAAGGCGTGTGGTACTAAATTAGTCCACTGATTGGAATTAGCATAGCTCTGCGTGTGGCCGAATGGATTTACTGAAGACAGAAGCCCCACCCTGGGTGTGGGTGGCACCACTCATAAGGTGGATGGGATAAAAAGGAAAGGCGGGTTTGCTGCTTCCTGTCTCCTACACCATGGACTGTCTCTCCTCCGCCACACCACCCTGCCTTGGAGCCAGCTGACTATGGACTGAAACCTCTAAAAACTCTGAGCTGAAATAAATCTTTTCTCCTTTTAACTTGTAGGTGTTGAGTATTTTGCCCCAGCAACAAGAAAAGTAACTAAATTAAATCCTGTCTCAAAAGAAAAGGAGTGTTGCTTTTAACTTAGCAAACATACTTCATCTAAAACACTATGCCAGGTGCTGAGGGATAAGTGTGTTGAATAAGATGTGGCTCATGCCTTCCAAGGGCGTATAGTCCACTGGCAAAGGAGGCCCAGAGAGAAATAATAGGAAGGAGTTAACCAAAGGTGGTGGAGTTCTGTCAGTTAGGAGTCTTTCAAGTGCAAATAACAGAAAACCCAACTCAGACCAGCTAATGCAAAAAAGGGACTTAATTAGCTTCCAGCACAATTTGAGCTGGGGCTCAGATGGCGTCCCCAGGCTGCCTTAGTTGACTGGGCTGGCATCTTTGTTAGGCTGGTTCCCCGGGCGGCGAGGCAGCAGCGCCCCTCACATCTGTATGCCCCCTTTGAGGAGGGTGCACATTTTCTGAAAAGCCAGCGAATGTTTTGTCATTTTGTGGCTCTAGCCAAGCCATATGGCCATCTCCGGGCCAATCACTGGTGGTCAAAGAGTGGGGTACAGCAATTATAGTAGCCTGTATTACATCTGATGCACTTGGAGCCTGGGAATGGGGCCAACTCTGTGGAAAGCACATTGGCCATGCATGGGGAAAGATGATCCTAAAAGTGTACAAGAACACTGGAATCATTAGAATGAGCAGTGTATCCACCAGATGTTTCCGCAGAGTCGTGATAAAAAGTAGGAGCTAAGGCTGTTTGCCAGTTGCAAAGTCCACAGTGGGACACAGACTGAAGTGTACCTTTGGATTTAGGCATTTTCTATAATTTGAGTCTTGATGAAAGTGGACTACAGTGCACCAGAGCATTGACTCTAGAGGCAGACAGACCCAGTTTTTGAGTGCTGGCTCTATTACAGCTAGGTCATCTCCTATCTTCAATTTTCTTTTTGGAAAAATGGGGACAGCATTAGTACTTACAGGGTTATTTTTTTCAAATAGTCTTAAAATCTGTATAAAGCCCTAAGGACTATGCCCACCTGCAGTTAGCTATGGTTATTTTTTTGTTCTTTTTTTTCATCAATTAATGCAGTTGGATAGCTGCTCATTTTTGTGAGATCTGAAATAACCCATATCATAAAGACGCTACTGCGTCAGTGGCTTTAGAAGAATTGCTTTTTGGAAAAAAAAAGAAAAGAAAAAAGAATTGTGTTTTGAAATGAACGTAGTGTTCGTAAGGCTGAAATTTGTGAGTTAACTTAAACAAAAATCTTGCCAGGGATACAGGAGTGTAGAGCAGCAGCAGCCGGTGGAGAAATGGAGACGCACACCTACTGCGCCAAGCTCTTGGGGGAGTTGAATGAACAGCGGAAGAGGGACTTCTTCTGCGACTGCAGCATCATTGTGGAAGGGCGCATCTTTAAGGCCCACAGGAACATTTTGTTTGCTAACAGTGGCTACTTCCGGGCCCTGCTCATTCACTACATCCAGGACAGCGGGCGACACAGCACCGCCTCCTTGGACATTGTCACCTCTGATGCCTTCTCTACCATTTTAGATTTCCTTTATTCTGGGAAGCTGGATTTGTGTGGGGAGAACGTCATTGAAGTTATGTCAGCTGCCAGCTACCTGCAGATGAATGACGTGGTGAATTTCTGCAAGACCTATATCAGGTCTTCCCTCGATATTTGCCGGAAGATGGAGAAGGAGGCTGCTATGGCCGCAGCGATGGCAGCAGCTGCGGCAGCGGCTGCAGCAGCAGCTGCAGCTGCAGCCCATCAGGTTGACAGCGGAAGCCCCAGTTCTGGCAAGGAGGGGACCTCCTGTGGTACCAAGAGCTTGGTCTCCTCCCCTGCTGAGGGAAAAGAGAGTGTGGACTATACAAGAGAGTCCCCTTGTGATGACTGTGGGGATTGCCACCCCTTGGAACTGGTGGTGAAAGACAGCCATGGCCGTGGCTCGGCTGACAGCGACCTCTCCACTCTGCCCAAATGGGTAGAGCCCAAGGTGGAACTGGATGCTACAGAAGTGGAGGCAGAGGTCGGGGAGCAGCTGCCCCAGTTTGCAGCCCCACTGAGCCTGGCCCACGTGGAGGAGGGCCCGCCCGGCGGCCAGGCCGTGGACTTGGCTTACAGTAACTACCACGTGAAGCAGTTCCTGGAGGCTCTCTTGCGCAGTGGTGCTGTCCAGAGCAAAGATGATGCAGTCCACCACCTTCCTCGAGGTCTGGAGGGAAGACCGGAACGTGCAGGGATAGCCGTGAGCTCTGTGGTGGATGTCCAGACTGACTGGTATGGAGAGGACTCAGGTGAGCTCCATTAACACTCATCATCTCCGGTCCTTCGGCACGTACCGTCTGTGCCTGTGTCCTCCCTCATCATGATCATTGTGGCCATTGCCATATCATTATCACTACCAACATCAACCCCACGATCACGGCCACCGCCACCATCATTGATGCCATGGCTACCACCGCCTCTAGGTTCTCATGGAGCCTCTGCAGTGTACAGGGCATTGTTTCTTCATGATTTTTGTGTTTTACCTCTACCACTAGAGTACGGTCCTCCTTCGTTATCCACGAGGGATTGGTTCCCCTTGAATAAGAAAATCTATGGATACACAAACTTACGTAAAATGATACAATATTTGCACATAACCTACATAAATCATCCTATATCCTTTAAATCATCTCTAGATTGCTTACAATACCTACTGTGATGAAAATGCTCTGTGAATATTTGTTATATAATATTGTCAAAGGACTAATGACAAGAAAAAAGAGTCTATACATATTCTCCGTACATACAATTTTTTCCAAATATTTTTGATCTGTGGTTGGTTGAGTCTGTGGATACTGATGGCTAACTGTGTGAACATACTGAGGGCAATCAGGAGACATGGAAAGATGTCCCTGTCTTCCACTAACCAGCAGTGGGACCTTGGTTAAATGACTGAACTTCTCTGAGCCCGTTTTATTATCTTCAAAATGAGAATAATCTTCCCTGCTTTGCTTTTCTCCCGGAATTGTTGTGAGGACCAGCAGAGAAGGTTATCAAAGTGTTTTCTCACATATGATAATATGTTCTATTACAAAGGAGATTTATATTGTTTGTCTTCATGGGAGTCAATTTTCTTATCCTTTTGTAGACTTGTATGTACATGTTTGTGTCTGATGTGAATGTTTTGGTACTGGGGATTGAAACCAGGGTTGCTAAGCGCTTACCCTACCACTGAGCTCCACTTCTAGCCCCTAGGAATTGTGTGCTAAAAGAACTTGGTTGTTCCCTGGAGCAATTCTGAAAGAGAAATTAACATAGTGAAGTCTTCTTAATTGAGGAGGTGCTTCTGGGGCTTCTGGTGGGAGACGGAAATCAACTCGGCTGCCATCTTACTGATGAAAATTGACTCCAGAACCTCAAGCCAAGCAATTAATAAATCACATTTCTGGTTTCACCTTCAATATTGAATAGTGAAACCCATTTATTTATTTATTTAGTTAGTTAGTTAGTCTTTTTGAGATAGGGTCTCACTATGCAGTTCTGGCTGGCCTTGAGCTCACTTTGTAGCCCAGGCTGGTCTCAAACTTGCAATGATCCTCCTGCCTCAGCCTCCCGAGTGCTGGCATTACAGATGTGCACCACAACGCCCAGCTGTGAAAACCTTTTAAATAAAAGGAAATCAGCTACTTTTATTTGTACTAAATAGCTTTTGAGACTTTTTTTTGAGACTTTTTAACTTCTTTTTTTTTTTTTTCTTGTCTTAAAGATATACCATATGTCTGATTAAAACTAGACTTGAAAAACTTGAAAATACTGCTTCTGGTCCTCAGAGACTCTGGTTTAACCAGCTGTTGATTAAGATACTGATTGCTGCTAGTTAAGAGAATGACTGTCGGACTCCTGCTGAGAAAGGAGGATTGCCACAAGTTCAAGGCCAGCCTAAGCTATGTAGCCAGACCCTGTCTCAGAAAAAAATAAGACACTAACTACTTCTGGGAACATACTGTGTTGAATTTTTTCCGTGTGCCAACAGCATTTACAGGCTGTGACCACTCTTTCACATCCACTAGCCCCTTCCAGTGCCCCATGCGTTTGGCAGTGGACACGTGGAGAAACTGAGGCTGGGAAGGGCTTAGTGAATTTCCTGAGTGTGCAGAACGGGCAAGTGAGCGGCACAGTTTAATCTGGAAACCTGGGCTGGCTTCATTTCACTCAGTGGGGGAACTGCGACGACAGCACAAGTGGCTCCGGGGTTTCATTGCAACAAGTCTGCTCTCAGCGTCTCTGCCTGTGAGCAGAAGTGCCAAGGAATAGTAATTTGGGTTTGTGCCACCATCATTCAAGTCCAGTCCTGAACACTTGGAGAGTCAGGTTTCCAACTGCAGGGCTCCGTGACAAGGCAGCCACCTGGGCCCTGGCCAGCTTTTGATTTCATTCACACAGCTCCAGGGTAAATTTCTGCCAAGTGCCCTTCCCACACAGCAGGATTGATTTGTGGGTTTGTTCATTTATTTGCTTCAATATTTGAGCACTTTCTTTGCAAAGACATCAACGTAAGTCTGTTAGGAATGCAGCCCTCAAAGAACTGATGCGTCTTAGAGGAGGTGGGACATGTTTAGAAATCACTTCCTCACCTTTGGGTGCTGAAAGACAGAGATACAGAAGAACTGGCTTCCTGGTGGGAGACCAGGGCGACTTCATAACGTGGCATGGCAGGCTAAGCAGAGTGGAGGGAGTACTTGACTGGAATCAGATCACGGAAAACCTGAAGGCTGAGGTAAGGCACATGGGAGTGTGGGGTAGCTTCCGAGCCTGGGAATGGGCAGGATCTGTGTTCGAGTAAGATTAATTTGGCCTCAGCACAGGATGTCCTAGGGATGGGAGACCAGGGCAAGGAGACCAGTCAGAAAGCTGCTGCGGTCACTAGGTATCAGCGTCGCTCATCTATGACGTCAGCAGGCACTGCCAAAACCTAAGGTTGTCCCGTTGTCTCTTCCCCCAGACTCCACCCCAACTCCAGCATCTCCCACCTCTTCTTGCTGTCTTATTTCCTGCTCTTTGCTGAGCCTACTGCGGTCTGGCTTCCTCCCTCTACCACTGAAACTGCTCTCATGGGGTCAGCTGCACATTTCTAGGGCTGAGCCAGGGAGCGGTGTTCAAGTGTTGTTTTACTTGCGCCCCATAGGAGTTGACTCTGAGCTCTTTCTTTGAAGTTCTTTCCTTGCCTGGTTTCTGAGACCGGGAGTACCATTTGTTCTCACCACTACCCCTTCCTTTTCAACCTGGTCATGGGATCATTTACTGTCACTGTACCTAGCGTTCCACCATTGGCTGGCTCCTTTGACATCAAATCACTCTGCTTTGTCCATTCATTCATTCATTCATTGAACAGGTGTTTATTGTGCATTTACGACCTGCCAGGCAATACTAATCACAGTGAACAAAAGACAATCCTTGCCCTCCCGGAGCTGCCATTCTAGTGTAGGGAGACAGATAGCCAGCAAATAAGTAGGTGTGTCAGCTGGTGATAGGTTTTGGGGAAGAAAAACTAAAGTTGCAAAAAGCTGAGAGTTAAAGCGAGACTATTTTATTTAGTACTAGAAGGGAAGGCATTTCAACAAGTTGCCTTTGAACAGAAACTCCAGGGAGTGAAAGTGCAAAGCACGGATACCCAGAGGAGAACACAGAGATGAGGGAGAAGCAGAGGGAAGAGCAGAGGGCCAAAGCCCAGGCGCATGGTCGTACGTGTGATCAGCAGGGATGCTGTAGTGGCTTTCGTGGGCCTTGCAGGCCTGAGAAGTGGAGAGGATAAGGTCCAAGAGGCTAAGTGAGGACTGGCAGGTCGGGCCTGGAGGCCACAGGAAGGTCTTTTGCTGTTACTCTGAGATGACAGGCTGCCAGGGGGTCTCAGCAAGGGTGATCTGAAGTGACATAGATAGCTAAAGGGTCCCTCTGCATCCTGTATGGGGGAACGAGCTCAGGAGCTGGAGGGCCACTTGCAAGGGGATGCAGTGGCCCAGGTGAGGTGTCTGTGTTCCCTGAGCCAGTGCAGTAGCAGCAGAGAGCTGAGGTATAGTTGGGTAAGGACTACGCTGTTTCTCAGAAACTGAGCCAAGCAGGTTTGACCTGTGTGAGGAGCTTGAGGAAGACAGAAGCCCAGGCTGACCCTAAGGTCTCCAACCTGAGCAACTGATTTAAATGTGTGCTGTCCGTGCTGTCCATTGCCATCCAAGTGGAACTGTTTGGTAAGCAGTTATGTAGAGAAATTTGGAGTTCTGGGGAGAGTCAGAGCTGAGACATGGACTTGGAGTCCTGAGTGGAACCCTGGAATTCAAAACTATATATCCCATGAACTTAGAGACCCGGGAGAAGATAAGTGATCTAAGGACCAAGTCCCTGGGAACACCAGCGCTGGGAGTTCAGGGAGATAGGGAGGATACAGCAAAAAAACCAAGAACAGGCAGCTAATAAGATAGGAAGAGCATGAAGAGAGAGATGATGCCGAGAGGACAGTGTGTGTCAAGGAGAACTGAACCATATCTGGTTCTGTGTGTGGACAGACAGAGAGCTCACTGGCTGTGTCTACGGGAGAGGTCACTGGTGAGCTTGACAAGGGCAGTATCAATAAGTTGTGAGGCAGGAAGCTGCGGGTGGGGAGCGCCAGCCTTCTGGCTGGCTAGCTTCCTGCCTGCTGGCTCCCGGAGGGTGGGCCCCCTGTGCA